CCCCCCCCCCCCAGTGAAACCTAGCCCATCCTGTGGCCGTCATCACATCCAACGAAAGTCAGTTGTATGTCGGTTAGTCACACAGCGACTGATCTCCGATGCCACGGAAAACGGACAAGCTTATACCCAAACGCCGCAGTTATGCTACCTGGATTTCGGCCTATTGCGAATGCAGTCCGTCCGCGAACTAGGGCCAATGTGCGTACCGGTTATCTGTAGAGCCCCGCTCGATAAGGTAGCCACACGTGAGCGTGTGCGTGTGCCTTTAGGTAGTTGGTCTTCGGGGGTTGATATACTTGTGTGCAACACGAAGTTCCCAAGGTTGTTTTCCACACCGAGCACCGATACGAATATCTAATTTTTGCAGTGATGGGTAAATGTCTGAATAAAGATTCATCCGTTGGGGATTGGTTGAATGAGTTTGGAAGAAAATTATAATAAATCTGTAAGCAACAAAAAGGTTATTTTGCTCATTTTGTTTGTTTCGAACGTGCAAAACATCCCTCAGGTCACCGTTTGATGTATCCCGTTTATGTAACCAAATAGACAAGCGGTGAAATGGGCAGTTATTCTATTTTCCGTATTGAAATGTAAACTTAGTCCGTCCACAGGCCAGTGAGCAAGCAGTGCGTCAACACGTAGGTAGGCTGGCTGGCAGGCCAAACTGGCGCAAGCATCACTGGANAACGAGAAGGACGCCAAGCTGGTCAGTCAACGAACCAATCAATCAATTCGGACAGGTCAATTCTGACCTCTGATTCGCTGAAGCAGGTCGGCCTTGTAATAGAGTAAGACCGCAAGACGTGCATATGTGCTTGTGGTGACAGGCTGTAACGGTCAATCACATGATGCACAGTAAGCATTTAACTCGAATGCAGTTTCATGAGTTTTCCTGAATTGATGCATTTCGTATTTTTTCTTGAAACTCGGTCAAACAATAGAAGCAACATCTACATTTAGGCCTGAGTTACAGCCAAACAGTCACTACATGGATTTATTACGTACAAAATCTGAAGAGGAGGGAGCACAGATTACATGAAAGCGGTCAGTTCTGTTGTTTGTACACGAGCTGGGAGGACCGTATACGTTAACGTTTTAACAATCAGATGGTTGTTAAACAAAAGAAAAAATGTGAAACCCAGTGTTCGCCGCCGAGAAAATACATGTATCGCAATGCTAACACTGCTTAATATAGTGATCTATGGGACATTTCTGGGAGTACGTAATACTATCCTGTTGATTCGGTATCCTTCAATGTGCTTCAGTATAGTTTTATAGCGCTCAGCTCCTTTGTAGTCACCAGGACAGTTCAATAAGCGACAGATTGGTGACCATGCAATGTGAGGGAATTCAGCTGTAGATTCGATGATGGGGATCATTTTACACGTTCAAGATTCGTTTCATCGCTTTTAAAAACAAGCGTGGTTTTGAGCATTATTGCTTTACCGAGACGTTATTGCCCATCTCGTTTCTATCAAGAGGAGGAAAACGTGAGCAAACAAAGGCGGTGCTTCGCCACTCAAACCTTTGCGTCTGATTTTTTGAATGTGCTAAAAATAGATTAGCAAGTTCTGCGATTTTATTGTTTGCTCGGTAACTGCAGTAATCGGAATAGACAAGAATTACGAATAACCATCGCAGATGAAACAATGGAATCGCAATGTATGCCGGAATCTCTCGTCACCGAGATTCAGGAAGAAGGTCACAACAGTATTGGTCAGTTTATTGAAAGAAGTCAATGAGATGAAGTGACATATTAATTGAAATATTATTGGCTAAACGGACATCAACCAATCACTGTTCTTCTTCTCTGAGTCACACCAGTTCTGCTTCAACTGCATGATCTTTGATTGGTTGATAGTCTTGGTATATGGTTCGTTGTTCAGAGACTGTAATGCGTAACCTCTTGGGTGGCGTTATCTTGGACGGTTTTATCACCAAAAACCGCATATGAAATCGACTATCTGAACCCCATCAACAGATTACATTCTGGACCAACTATTATGCAGCTGAGTGAAAATCCTTGCTTATTTCCAGCAAGTTACCGAATTCAGTTCGGACAAGGAATTATGCGACTGAAAATTGCTGTTTTTTCTCTCAGACTATTCCCGTGGAAACCATATTTAGGAATAATAATTGATTGGTGAGAATAATTCAACTGAATTATAATACTCTATCTTCCGTCGGATTAGTTACGGACGCATTGTGTTTGTTTGTCCGGGGCTCAAATCCCGGACGAGCCAATGAATGTGAATTACAAATGAACTCTAACGGTAAAATGTTTCATTTGGAACAGGTCATCGTAATTCCCACAAAATCTCAGGTTAATTTATGGAACGGATCGACAGTAGATGCGCATTTTATATAGTTACAAAACGAAAGCCTTTAATCCTCTCGCGAAATCCGCAGGAATACAATAGCCTTTTTATGATACGTGCAAGCTCCTCACAAGTGTGAGTAGTATCTCACCACACAAGTAATGATATATCTATTATGTTTTGTGTGGTGCCTAATTTCATACAAGCAGGCACGTGAAAGACCGCAGTCTACATAGACTCCCGAACAGGGAGTCATAGTTAAAGTTGAAATGAGTTATCTCATTCCGAATTTAACGATCAACAAAACATCTGAAGTATGTTTGGTCCAAACCTTCTGGTCTGTTCAGAGTTGGTTCCCTCAACTTATGGATATCCAGCGCCTGTGTGAACATGTCACATGTTGCGAGAAATGCGTGCTTTTTGATGCCTTCTGGTTTATACAAGTTTTCCGACTTGAAAGGAACTGGTATTGGTAATAGACTGTGAGTCAAAACCGTTAGCGGATAAGATGATAGAAACCGTTTCAAATGGGGTTCTCTTATTAGTTACCACATGGAAAGAGCACTTTTGCAATTATAGAAAACCTTACGAACTTTTGAGAGTTCGCCTTCAACTAGCTCACCAATTTACGTCCACTGAAACTTGAAAGCCCTCGACTCACTTCGAATGGAACTTCCAATCTACGAACAAATCGTAAAATTCGTGGTTTAGATCCAACGATAGTATGCGCTTCCTCCTCCTCCCCGTCTTCGTCATCTTCGCCTTCGTCGGCACTGGTCGAATTTCTGGAGCCCATTGGATGCGGATTTCCAGTTGATTGATGAGTGGAATTATCGTTGATACGCACAGCCTCCTCCGAGTCATGCAAGAAATAATCCCATACACGTGGACTCAGTAGAATTCGAACAGATCCAAGCACTTGCGAATTTTTCCAAGGTGGTAGAAGAGACAGGTTGGGTGAACTGCTGTACAAGCCTTCTTTGGTCAACGCGTTTCGCTCCTTTAAGTCCAATCGTAATTCCAATTGGGCCCGAGCGGGACTGCGCAATGCACAGGACAATGAGGTGCCAAACTGCGGTGTGGCATGTCCGGAACTGCACGATTCCACCATGTTGGCAGGAATCTCCAGGGTTATTGCGTGCCAGAATACGGGTGAACGAAATGCGCGTCGTACCGGAGTTCGACCGGCACTCAATCCGGCCGCAGTACGACCCATTCCAAAAGCGTGTAATCGATCGGGGATGAATGAGCCCTGCGAATGTGCACCGCGAGTGTGAAGCTGATCCAGCGATACGATTGAGTGAGTTGGTCGCATACCTGTAAAAAATAACGGAACGGAAGGAGTGATCCGAGAAAGTGAGGAAAACGTTGTGTGAGTGTGTGTTTGTAAAATTATGAATGACCCAAACGACACACATTGACATTAAGCTGGGCTCATGATAATCCGCCAAACAACCCAAACGCTTTACCCGGCACAGAGTTAAATCAGTTTGATCAAGCAACATCTTAATCGGGATCCCATCGACTTTGCATTTATGCATCGGAATCAGATGCTGCAGAAACTTTCCAATACTGTTTTGGCTCGATGTGCACTAAGCCGTATTGTGAAGCGGACCTACTAAAAAATCTCTGTTTCACACCGGTACGACTAGACAAAATGGCTCCCTTCTGAGTTGTCTATTAGTCACTCAACTTCATTACTGCTACGTTCTCGCATTGAATCGTCAGTAGCAAGACATTTTACATTTTACAAAATTGTTCCTGAGGGCAAATCACGTAGCCCGTTAGATGATATCTTCTTTCATCTTGTCACCACTCTCACTATTATCAGAATATTATTGAGTGGGGGTGTCATAGTTGAAGTACGCACACACCATGGATTACGAATCACTTATTAGGAATCACGGTCGCCACGGAAGCACTAAATCACACTGACACTTGCGAGACGGTATCCCACGTAATCGAGACTACGAGAAAAGGCCACAGGAGTAGTAGTTCGTTTATTGGAAGAAATCAAGGGGGTTAAATAAGATGTGCACAGAAAGTCCATTGGTTATCCAGGCATCTACCAATTGCGTGCTCGTATTCTTGGTGTAGTCCAGCTTCTGTCTGGGCCGCACGACTTCTGATTGTTCGGCACAATCGGCCTTTAGTTCGTTGTCCAGAAGCTGTAACGCGTAGGCACTTTGCTGGCGTCATCTTGGAAGCTTAACCTATCACAGCTGTCCAGAAACTGTAACGTGTCGACCCGAAATTCGCGTCATGCCATAAGCTAGGATCATCATAGGGGGCTTGCAGCATACCGACGAATTCCGGATGTTCTGGATCCCCATCCCGTTCTTCACCGGACCAGAATGGATCATTGCATTGCACGCTTCATTTCGAGCAGTTTATTCATCGTCCAGTCGTCTAGATTCAATTCGGACAGGAAGTCTATCCGGTCACTACAATAAAGGATACATTACTCCCAACGCTCGGGCGCTTTATCCCTCACGTGCGATAGAACAGTAGTAAGGTACCGAACATCAGATCCATCAAAGCTCAACAAGTTTTGAGACAATAGCCAAAGTTCCACGAGTATCTATTATCAAACACGCACCTAATAACACTTGACGGGATGCCGAGTGGAGAACATAGCATTTTTTGAGCACATTTTACTACTACATCATCGGAGTTAAAATTGATCCAATGCAAACCCGGAAACGTGAGACAAACGAATGCAATTCGTAGCTCAGGTGTTTAATATCATGTGAATTATGATGAACCACTAACTGAAACAAACAGCCGAAATGGCCACAAAATTGTCGGTCGGTAATCCTGGCCGAGCAAGGTTTCGGTTTCTGTGTTCATCTTCTGAACGTTCTGAAACAACGCATCGTTGCATTCCTCTTTTCTTCTTTGAATGTCAACACAGTTTTTGTTCGAACTCGTGAGCAGGATGCAAAAGTTGTGCATCCCCTCTGGGGACTCGAGTCATGAACCTTTGGGTTCAGAACCGAACCTGTTGAGCACAAGATGAGAAGTAGAGGCTTTGATTGGACGATTTCAATTGCGATTATGAGCTGTTTGATCTTTTGTCCAAAAACAGTAAAAGCTCTATAAAAAGGGTGGGAATCAATTACTGTGACGTACGCGGGTCTGATGCTGTTTGTTTTCCTTTGCCGCGGCAGATAGGTTGTCAGTTCGTGAACGGTCAGGAGCTAACCGTAGATGAGGATGAGAAGGCAAGTTTTTTTCTACACGTCTACATAATTCTAATGCACAATGTTTTATGGTTATCAAAAAGCTAAGAATAGCTTTTAAATATTCACCACATTTATTTATATGCCACTATCAAGATAAAATTCGAGCGTGCGATTTTGAATATTGCCACAGTTCCACTTCTATGCACAGTACAACAGACCTTTTATGAGACTTATGACACAAGAAAGTCGATTATTGAACCTGAGTATAAATGGGTTACGGAATACGATTCAATTACCCCTCTATTTTGGTCCGATCTCCCTGACACCTTATCAAGTTGAAGAATATTTATCGGTGCACCTTGATTCCAAACAAACTGAGAAGAAACGTTCAGATTATATGCCCATAGATTCCCTCTTTGCAGCTATAACCACCGAACTGATTGAGTAATGCGGTGTATTGGGCACTTTGGCTAATCGATTTGTGGTGAGTCACTCCTCCCAGATGACGCCAGCCAAGTGCCTAGGCGTTACAGTTTCTGAACAACGAATCACAGGCCAATCGTGGTGGCCAATGGAAAGTCGTGCGGTACACACATAAGCTGTATGCCGTCAAGAATACAATTAGGCCAATGATGGGTACCTGTAGAACCAATAAATATTCTTTGTACATCTAATTTACTCTCAGTGATTTCTTTCCATAAATGAACTGTCACTTCGGTAGCCTTTTAACCTGCATCTCGATGAAGGGAGATTCCAGCGTCCAAGTGCTAGCGCGATTCAGTTGTGTCCGTGATTTGTAATCCGTACCTGCTTCAAATACAATATGAATCCAACCAAAGATTTCGCGAACCAAACCGAGACCAGCAACGGATTGTTGACATTGTGCTCCGTCCGGATGACATAAACGTTTGAATTACCATAGTCAAAGGCTTTCGCAGGATACCCCAAGATAATTCCTCCTCTTCTTCGGGGAGAAGGATCGGAAGGTAACATACCCTCACAATTAATGAATCAACCAAATTCGGTTAGGCTAGTTAAGTGCTTCTGATATATCAACGTGACTGGCAAAATAAACTGGAAACAAACGGCCGGTCATCGCAACTCATTAGCTGAGCGTATTCTGTACTCTCGTATATCAGTTGTCCCGGGCGTGCTCTTCATATGCTGTCCACTTGATAATTATTACCTTGATTACATTTTATATCCGTGGTTGAACAGCATGCCCCGTATATTGTGCTAAAAGGGGTTCATTGGTTTATCATTCTTTCGATCATTGAGCATCATTCATGACAAATCTCTCGCCAGTCCCGAAAATGAGATAAGCACTTTTTTCATGAATTGTGTAACACGAAAGAACGCGGTGCTGCCCAGGTTGACGAATCTAAAACCGGAGACATGTTATTATTTTGCGTGTGCAGCAGTTTATGGGGCCAATTCAACAGTGGGAGCCATTTAGCGTCACATCAGGACATTTAGCAGATTGTGACTGGGGCGTAAGGGAGTGAAATTTAACACAAGCGGACCACGTGGGAATTCGGTGGTGCAAATGTGAGCAACAAGCGGAGAAGGCATATCAAAACCTGAGTGTAACTGGGTCCCACAAACAGCACCATTAGCATAACCGCGATTAGACCATGCGGAGTTTGTAGTACGGAAAGAGAAAAAGATATTCACTACTTAGATCACGATTCAAAACGCGAAATAAGACTATGCATCTTCAAATTGATTGCTAGCAAATCAGAAGACCGATTCCACAACCACAGCAAATCAATTGCCTTATTTATTGTTACTATGGCAATCGTGTGTGAACCTGGTGGTAAACATATTACAACGTTTAATGTACGACAATCGGGTTGTGTGTGTGTGTGTTTGTGTGACTCGGGTAGGGGGTTAAACCCAAAGCCTTAAACCCAAAACAACCAAACGATCAATTTTGTTGATAAGCAGTATTCCGAAAACTGAATTGCAGTCAAGAATAGCCCGAAAAAACCATACTATTCCATACATTTGTTAACTGGAACACGGTGAATCTCGCTCGCTTTTTCTCTCTCTCTTCGTAGATATGTTCTTGTGAATGCAACAATTTGGATCGTAGTTAAGCGACTAAATGAACCACTGAATTGGTCAGACAACTGCTACACTTCTAGGCAAAAACTGTAAAAAAAAACTGCGGATAATTTGTCTTCGACGAGGTGAAAGCGCTCAGCAGCAGGTTTCCCCGGTTAACCCTCGCCTGTTCTCCTTATCTCAATCTGCATGTGGCATTCAAACACGAGTGTTTTTTTTGTGTTCATCTTTCTGTTCCAAACTCAAACCGCTCCCAATACAAACTGGTTTAGACAGTGGGTTGAAACGCGCGTATAACGGATGTCCATCTATTTCAATCGTGCGCTTTTAAATTTTAAACTTTTGTGAACTAACGGTAGACGTAACCCTGACATTTTTTGCGCACAACTTCAGTTTCCCACACTGTGACACATGCACACATGCACACAGCATGCCTGTATCGGGCTCGGACATGCGGCCGAAACAGCAGTCTTGTGGGCCAAACGCATGCACGCACACACACACACACACACACACACACAAACAAACAAACGCAAAGCGG